TACAATAGATTCCAGTATCCAATTACAAATTTTCGTAATTGCAAAATCAGCATTAATTTACCCTTTTCGGCTAACTGCAGCATTCAGTGCGTGTAATGAGAGGCACGCCAAATGAAAAGACCCTCCACTCTCCGTTCCTCTCGCAAACGAACATTGAGAGATTTTCAATCAAAAAGGCTTGGAACGTTTCATGGTACAAACGGAAAACGGAATCGTTGTTCGTAGTCAGGGATCCCATTTTCTATGAAATACCCACCATAACGTCGTTTCATGTTTTGTAGCGATTATGAGTACGATATGAATGAAGCTTAGGTACTATGGTCTTAGCGAAGCCGCAATATTTTTGGTTTGGAGCTATTTTCTGAGCCGCTCAAAAAAGATTTATGTGAACGAAACTCATTCTAACAGTATCGAAATTTTATATGGTGTGCTGCAAGTCTCCATCTAGAATCCTCTTCTCTTTATTATTTACACTGCAGATATTTTAAATAGCACGGTAAAGTTTAAGCATATGCCGATGATACTCAGCTATGTTTTAGTTTTCACTCCAGGGATGCTCATATTGGCGAAATTACTGCTAATAATCAGTTGAATAACCTACTAATAATTTAATGAAAAATAGTGAGTCTCCAGCTTGACGGTGCTCCTCTTGGAGTCAGTGATTATGCTAGAAATGTAGGGTTTACGACTGATAGCAGTTTGCTTTTTTCTGAGCACGTAAAAACACTTATAAGTAAGGCTCATGCATCATTGAAGCTAATTTATAGCAACGGGAATATACTTGCTCTTAAAATGAAGAGTACATTGTGTGAACTGCTAGTTTTGAGTCATTTTAGCTTCAGTGACTTTATATGGTATACAGTCATCAGTCAATGATATGCTTGACGCTCTAAACGGCGGTGCGCCCTTTGCTTCTGTTTCGTAGTCTAACATAATAGCAAAATCTAGGGATACTGAAAACAATGTTCCCTTCAAAATGTAATCATAAATTTCTCTTTTTTGTTTTTTTCAGTGTGCTGATACCTTTATCACTGAGTATAATGCTATGTGGGATCCCAGGCTGTGGGAAAATTTCAAAAGCCTCTACGCTTCAAACGGAATCCTATTGGTATTTTTAATTAAACTCTAAAGAATATTAGCGGTCAGAGTCTATTTATAAAATGTAATTTGCCAGCGCACGGACCAGCTGGTTCATCGGTTTCACGTATAAAATTCAATTTGTTGTTGTAACACGGCGGTTGTTTATAAATTCGGCGGGATGTTATTTCGCCTTTTGCTGAATGATGTTTCCGATTTCCGGTGCATATTGATTGGAACAAGTGTTAATGTTGCACTTTTAGATTTCCTCTGTCTGAAAAATGGCTGAGGTTGTGCTTCCCACGCAATTCTATCGTTTTAATATTTATTAGGTCTGAACTTTCACATATCGACAAATTTCAACGCACTTCTTTATTTGACGAATATCTAGCTCACTGATTGTATAGGCGCTTGTCTTCAAATTAACTATACTGGTAACGGTTGGTATTACGCGTGTCATTTTTTAAGCAAGAACCGTTTTGTAATGGACAGGGAAAATTCATTTATGAACGTAAATTATCTCACAAACTAAAATGCGAACTTTACTTTTCCAACGTAGTGAAGGAACACTGCCGCTTGACCGTTAAACCAATTAGTGACTGTTTCTTTCGGCATATCATGATTTTCCAAACTCCTTCCACCAAGAAATGCCTCAAGTCCTCGAAAAAGATGTAAATCTGATGGTGCCAAGTCAGGGCTGAATGGTGGATGATCTAGTACTCGTACTTCCCAACGAAACTCTTTTCAGCAACGTGATGCCGAGCGTTGTCGTGAAGCACAATCACGCCACTAGAAGGCAGGCCCCGCCTGCGGTTTTGGAAAAATTGCTGATGAGAGGCACTTTTTTTGCATTTAAAAACAGAATTACTGAACGCCGTCCACAATTGGCGTGTTTACTGATCGACATGCTCACAAACAAAGCAGTATAGCCACACAACCAACATCGATAGAGACCTGAAACGTAAAGGCGGCGTAGTGAGAGACTGGCCAAGAGTGTCTGAGGTTGAACAGACAGAAGTCACGAGACATGATGCGCGGGCACCATGCGCAATCGGTTCTTCCTGTAAAAATGGTCTTCGTAAAATTTAGAAGGCTGCTATTGCTACTGGTCATGTTCATTCAAGCCATTGCATTTTGTACGGATTCCAACAAGAAAGACAGAAACGTAGAAATTTATTAAAAACCCGCGACTTCGTTCGCATAATACTGTGAAAATAACCAAAATTTTAAGTATAATGCAGATTAAAACAAATTTTACATTATACAGGGTGTCCGCAAAGTTGGGGTTTTCCTTTACACGACGTGTAGATCTTGAAAACATAAGCAATTTTTCTTAGTACCATATACACCAATGTCTTAAGGGAACCGAGATAAAGGGCTCTGCAACATCAAAAATATCTGAATACCGTCCTGTAGCCGCGACCCGCCGCGATATCCCCGACTGGTACTAGGTCTCAACCCGACGGCAGAATTGGTTTGGGGTCAGTGTGTCAGGTTAGTATGCAACCTTCAACCGACGGTTACGGTCACGCATGTAGAGGTAATCGCGTAGACGAGAATCGCTCAACAAGCACTAGAGACGTGGCTAGAGAAGTGCAAGTATCAAAAACTAAAGTGTGGCAAACGCTGCGTGAAGAGGGGCTGTATCCGTTTCACGTCCAACGTGTGCAAGCCCTTCAACCTGACGATTTTCCAGCAAGAGTGCGGTTTTGTGAGTGGTTGTTGCATCAACATGACAATAATCCGGACTTTTTGAAGTGCATATTGGTGACAGACGAATCTACGTACACGCGTAAAGGGGTGAATAACTTTCGCAACACCCATGTTTGGTCAGTAGAAAATCCGCACGCTGTCCGTCGGGCACATTTTCAACAAACATTTTCGGTGAATGTTTGGGCTGGCATGGTGAACGGTATGCTCATTGGACCATTTATTCTCCCAAATCGATTGGACGGGATGCAATACCTAGACTTTTCATGCAACATTTTGCCTTCCTTGTTAGAAGATGTGCCATTAAGTGTAAGACAATCAATGTGGTTTCTGCGTCTGCTCGGTAGCGCTTCAGCTGATTTCATTTTCTGTTGGAGCGGTATGATTTCGGGCAGAGACGTACTTAGCCCTTCTCGTCAACTGGAGAGTGAGTACTTTTTCCTTTATTTTTTTTTTACTTGGTCGCCCTCGTTTCACTACACATTACCTTTGTTATTTCAAGGGTAGTTGTTTCTGAAAAGGAAAACCCCAACTTTGCGTACACCCTGTATATTTCACAACAAAGAATGAGAAAACGTGTTTTTTGGGATTTACTCGAAAGTGTTGATAGGAACGACAAAACTGTTTATATAAGATTTTTGGGGAATTTATGAGTTCTTCCAAAAAAATTGGTATACTCATTTTATGCGTCCATGGTTTGAATACCCCCTTGAACAACTTGCAGCAATAAAACCAGACTTTACAACAATTCGCAAACCAAGTGTATTTTCGTCTAATATGATTAGACTATAAGATAGAAATTACATTTAATAACATTTTCATCAGTAAAACTTATGAGGAAGGCTGATATGTGACATGCTCAAAATACCGCTTCCTCTTCATCTTGCGTCTCCGATGTCACACAGGCTGAAAACATTTTCAATCCTTTTTTGATATCCAATTACGGACATTTAGATAAAAATTGTATAAACCTACGTTGAAGCTGCAAATAGATAATTCAAATAAACTTCCTTTCTATCCGCCATTTTTCATGTGAACAGCGCCGTCTCTAGATAGAAACGAACAATTTTTAACTGTAGAAATAAGACAACACAAAGTGCCAGAATCAACCACTGCGAGAGTGAAAACAGCAAGATGTCTGTTGGAACTATGACCCTGTTCGCATTGTTAGTCGGCACGGATATTACGTATCTTGAAAAGTGTATTTTTATTGTTTCTTTTTTGTGACATCATGTAGGATTTTCTACGAGATGTTAACTTAGCACTAGCTGATGGACAGTTGTTGTGAACCCGTTTTGCAGCTGTACGTGTTGCCTAAGCGTCATGATGCTTTAGTTATCAATGTTTGGCTCTGATGTGATGTGAAATCTGCTTCAGAGATGGCATTGGAGGTCTAAACTGTAAGTTGTATGCTATAGCTAGAAGGAAATGGCAACACATAGGTGCACAGTGAGGATTTGTGTGCTCATAATATGTGTTGTTGATAATTCCGTTGGTTTCTTATCTCAAATACACTTGACATTCAAAGCTAGAAATTAGTTGCGCATCCACTTTTCCTTGTTTATTCTGGAAATTACATATGCAAATTTGCTGAAATTCAAAAATGAGAGAGTTAAGAAAAGAAAAAGAAAATCTCTGGTTGGTGAAGGAACAGGTGAGAAAATATGCTACAGGCACGGATATTTATGAAAAGGTTATTACATATTTTTTTATCTCCAGTAATTTAAATTTTATAGATACTCATTTTGCGATTTCAATAATAAAAATACAAATCAGCGCCTAGCTGTGAGGCATTGCGAACATGTTTGATGTGTGATGCGTCATTACTAGTAGTAGTAGTTCCTGGGATATGCCTTAATTGCACAAAACGCGGGCGCGGTGGCAATTTCCCGTAGGGTGGTACATCAAAGAATGAATTGAGCCCTAAGGAATCAATTATGTATAAAGTCCACCGGCATGTTTGCTCAAGGCCTCCAAATTAAAATCAATTTTCATTATCGCTGGGGTTGACAAATCAAACTATTTCAAATTTGCTGAAGGCTGGCAAATAACAATTAGATATGTTATGTCACTATGGAGGGATCTTAAGGAGAAGGGCTTGAAATATCTTTGTTTGAGAAACTTAAATGAAGATTCCCTGGAAAATTTATTTGGTCGAGTAAGGCAGCATGGTATCTTTAATACAAATCCCACCTGTCATCAGTTGTTGTCGCCTTAAAGACAGTAGTTATTAATAATTTCAGCGCAACTTTTTCTAAAGGTAATTGCGAAATCGATTTTTGTGATACTTTGGTCGATTTCAGTGACTTTTTAGATAAATATGACCAAAGTAACGATACAGTGCTTGATTTAGACCCTGAGATTCTAAGTGCCTCTATGAAATAATGGACAGTTCTGTTGAATGGAATCCTTCAAATGGTTATGTGGCTGGACAGACTCAAAATTGATAGACATTGTGAATCCCGTGCAAGGTTATTTTCTTTGATTGTCACTGAAAAACATCTATGTGAGACTTTTAAAGAGCATGATGAGGAAAAGCGATTGAAGTATGCAAGTGAAGATTTAATTAACCTGATTGGTCTTCTGGATGAAAAGCTGTATGCATTTTTAGAGCAGCAAGGTACAGACGACCAACTGGAAGTTAAATTTAAATGGAGGTATTCCTGCATCCTTCAAAATTACAGCTTTTGTCAGCAGCATGATGTGGCAAAAGGTATAATTGAAAAAACTGCTCGGTTGGGAATTTACAAATATGTAAAGAGAAATTCTTTGAAAGGAGTGGTGAGACTACTAATAGTCACATATCGACAAATAAGAAATTCAAGACAGCTAAAGTCAGGTAATGCTTTTTTATGTAGTCCAGCACTCTTCATTCATTGAATTTTCTATTTACTTTCAGTAACCAAATACTACTGTGATATTATACCTAAACAATATTTTTTTTTTCATAGGTGCACCATCCTTGGGAAGGAGCAGTTGGACGAAGAATAATTATTGATTTTGTTACTCCCTGTAATGTTAAAGCCATCAAGAGCTTTTGGTTTTAAGTATGAGGAATATCTTGTTTATTTTTTAATTTGATTTCTTCTTTGAAGAAAATTTTCCTCATTTTCACTCTATAAAAAATAATGTTTTCTCAGATTACATTTTATTTCAGTTATTTATTTAACTACAGAGATTTATTTTTTGTTGTTTTAGTATGAATGTTTACATTTCAGTGATAAATATACCTCAAGATGGATTAACAATAGGTAGTGTGCTAAACACTTCCTTTGATTACTGACGGTCCCTTTTTATCGTTTTTTACGCTACTAATGTATGATTTGTATTTTTTTTGAACATCATTTATTCACTTAATAATATAGAGAAAGCTCCGGATGTTTAAAAATACCTTTATATATTCTCAATGTATTGTGATGATAAATTATTACTTATTATTATTCATATATTTAACTATTTAATAAATATTTTATCAATTACGCATTTATTTTTTATTATCCCAAAATTGGTTACCAGCAAAACAGCTGAATCAGGTATTTTCTTTATTGAGGTTATTTTATGCGTCTATGATCATAAAATATTTGTTCAATATGGGCAATATCACTTTCAGCAGATTTTAAATTGTAAACAAACTAAATCCTCGGCACATTCCTAGCATTCCTAATCTCCCGGCGTATTCTTTGAATTCCATCGATAGTTCCTCCAGATCTCCAGGCAAGTAGGCGGCGCAACCATCTGACAAAACGTCAGCGGTGTTGCCGTTGTTTAACGTGAAGCTCCCACTTCTTCAGTGTCTTATGTGTTTTGTGATTTTAACCATGGAACAGTACACACCAAAACAACGCGCTGAAATTATTCAGTTGTACATTCAAAATAACTTCTCAATCGTGAAAACTAAGCGTGCGTTTCGTACAAAAGTTAAAAGTGCTAGGCTGATAACACTATCAGACGTTTATACGCAAAATTTGTGAACACCGGTAATCTTAGTAACGCCAGTCACCCATCCAGGCAACGAACATGATGAAAATATCGAAGCCGTACGAGCCAGTGTTGAAGAGACTCCATCAACATCCGGTCGCCATCGTTCTCAAGAGTTAGGCATCGCTCGAACCACTTCCGATGCATAATTCGTAAGGATTTGAAGATGTTTCCATACAAAATTCAAATGGCTCGTCAGTTAAACCCAGCTGATTATCCGTGTCGCTTTGAATTTGCTAAACGGAGCATTGAAATGGCCGAAAATGAAGATGACTTTTGGCGAAAAGTCATCATGTCCGACGAGGCACATTTTTCGTTACATGGAGGCGTAAGTAAACAAAATTGCTACCAAAAACCCTCAATTAATCGAACAGCAGCCTCTTTATGACCAAAAAGTTACTGCTTGATGCGGTGTGGTTCGCGAATATGGTCATCGGGCCTATTTTTTTGAAGACGTAGATGGTGAGCGTTATCGAGAATTTTTTGAGGCTAATTGTTTGTGAAAATGACATGGACGATTACTGGTTCCATCAGGATGGCGCCACATGCCACACAGCTCAAGCAACAATCAATTTATTGCGACAATTGTTCCCTGGACGACTGATAAAAATGGCGATTTTGACTGGCCACCGAGATCACCTGATTTGACGCCACCAGACTTTTATTTGTGGGGCTATTTGAAATCCAAGGTATACGCTAACAAGCCAAGGACTCTAGCTGCCGTCAAGAACAATATTCGTCAAGAAAGTAATTACAACAAATCTCCCTGGATCAAAATAAAAGACTTTTCAAATGAACAACAAACAATATTTTTTTAATGTATTTTTGTTTTATAAACAACTGCTTCCACTTTAAACGGCTCACCCTGTACTTGTTGTACTTTTTATATGCTTTTTAAAAGTTCCAATTTCTTGTTATCCCAATAACAATTTCATTGATTATTTTGGGTAACTGCGCTCGATATATACACTAACTTTTTAAGTTACGATTCGATAATTATGCATGAATGTCGCAACCTTTTGGCAGCTAGACCAGACGTTACAACTCAGGTAAATATAAACATGAAACCTTGGTCGCTAATCATTCTCTTATTTTATTTTCGGTGACAGCAAACTATTTGTGTAGTCTTGTTACTATAAATCCCCCGTACATTAGCGAGCCACCTGTCCTACAAATAAAGCCACAGCCAACTGAAAACGTTACATACCGTCTGTTTTTCGGGCCAAGTTTACTGTTATGCGTATGTGCATGTCATTTGTTACATATGCTTCCATGGCCGTCTAGATTCACGTTACCGAAATAACGTGTCGACAACACCCACATGACAGAGCTTTTGAACTGCATTTGAGGGGAATCGGGTGCGGTTTGGGAACTTTTTGATTACGTCTATAAAGCTGAAGATAGTTTGTAGTGGAGGAAAACTAATATTGAGATTTAGATGCGCTTGCAGGTTTTCAAACTGAAATTCCCTTAGGGCTCCAAATAAAGGAACTTAGTAAATTGGTTTCAAGTAATATACTAAGTGACATATAAATCCGAACACCCAGTTTAAATGGTTTTATTTTAATAAAATTTTGTATAAGTACTTAATGAAGCATAATAAGTAAATGAATTTCAACAATATATTAATTAATACTGGTCACTATAAAATTTTGATACTGGTTACTATAAAATTTACTTGACATATTTTTTCTACTTATATACCCTATATTATAAACTTCAATCTCTATTCTATAACCATGTCGAGCTTCTGGAAGTTATGGAAAGATTGGGATTTAGGGGAGCGTCACAAATCCTTTTAAAAAATTACCTTTCAAGTCGGGCACAGACTGTCAAAATCACTAACACTTACAGTAAAAAATGTACATCAAGTGTGGTGTGCCTCAAGGAACAGTACTAGGCCCACTATTATTTAGTTTCTACTTAAATGACTTATTCAAAATTAACAGTTCTGGAAAGATTATATGTTTTGCAGATGACACCCTCGTATTATATAAAGCTGATGACTGGAGCACACTGAAGCAAATAGCTGAAAAGGATTTTATAAGGATCATTGACTGGTTTGATACTAAAATTTTAACAGTTAACTTCAAAAAAACAAAATTTATTGCATTTACATCCTATTCAAAATTTTTACCTACCTTCGAACAAATTTCCGTTAATTATCATGGCCAAAAGACCAAAATCGATAGAGTTAACACTTTGAAATATCTTGGAATATTTATAGACTCACATCTAAGGTGGGATAACCATATTAAATATGTTATCAAAAAAATTAGAAATGTTGCCTATAAACTCAAAATGCTTGCTAACATTCTTACAGAAAGTTATCTGCGAATCCTATACCATGCCTTAGTTGAAACCCATATAATATACGGCATCACAGCCTGGGGTGCCGCCTGCAAGACATATATTTCTGACCTGAATATAGCACAAAAAACTGTTTTGAAAGCCATTTTCCATAAGCCAAGATTATATCCAACGAACAACTTATATCAAGAAACAGGGATACTTGATACAAGACAACTTTATTTCTTACATGCCACCACCTTATACCATAAGTATTGTAATAAAAAGAAAAAATCCTATAAACACGAACATAACACACGAAACGAAATAAAGATACTTAATTTTGGAAAAAAATTTAGAAGAAAATTGAAAGACTGGGTTAGTAATGTGCAGCGAATGACTATACATAATTATATAGAAAACTAAAAGTACTAAATTCCAATTACATTAATACCTTTTAGATTTAACAATAATTGTTATACACATATATGATTGATTGTTAGTTATTAAGATATAAACCACACACAGGCGATGCCTTCTGTGGTTTATTCATATTTATTTGCCCATTTTTTGTATTTTGGCGAATAAATATTATTATTATTATTCTAAAAAAAATTTGTTCTGATTTGTATTTAGCAAATATTTCTTATATTGTATTTTGAAACTTGGAAGAGAAATATTAAGAAACTGGTTGGGAATTGAATTAAATTGTTTAACAGCATTGTATGAGAATGAACGTTGAAACAATGCACTGCTATGAAACGGCATTGTTATTTTTTTAAATATCTTACATTTATATCGTGAACAGAATGTCGGAAAATTAAGCGTTCCCTTATATAATCAGGTGAACCTGGAGTGTTTATAATTTTTAATAAAAAACTAGAAAAATGGAGAGTGCGACGCTCATTCATTTTAAGCCATTTAATTTCTTTTTACAAATGAGATATATACTAAGTGACATATAAATCCGAACACCCAGTTTAAATGGTTTTATTTTAATAAAATTTTGTATAAGTACTTAATGAAGCATAATAAGTAAATGATAAAAATTTCAAAATGATTGCACTGCTTTAAAGCCCTTTGACCTTTAATAATGTGTGGATGCACCCTGATGTGCTGCGCATTCTCCAACGCGCCTAGGCATGCTTCTGATCAGGTGGTCAATGTCCTCCTGTGGTATCTCATTCCAGGCAACCACCAACTCCTCTCGAAGTGCTTCTAGAGTCTGAGGAGGACGTTGCAAATTGAGCAATCTCCTACCCATCATATCCCACACGTGCTCAATTGGGGATAAGTCGGGAGATCTTGGTGGCCATGGTAACAATGTGACATCATTATGTTGAAAGAAGCCTATTGTGACTCTTGCAACATGTGGTCGGGCATTATCTTGTTGGAAAGTTGGATCTGCCAGGGTGTCAAGATAGGGTAAAAGATGGGGTTCTAGAACTTCGTGGATATAACGCTGCGCGTTCATGTTATAGTACCTCTGATGAAGATTAAAGGTGACCTGGAACCATAAGCTATAGCACCCCAAACCATAACTCCAACAGTGTGATGAACATGTCTTTCAACAAAAAACTGTGGATTCCTCCTTTCACCACGTCGCCTTCTAACCCTGGCACGACCATCGTGCATGCCTAAACAAAATCGAGACTCGTCACTAAAGACAATACTGTTCCATTCCTGATCCCAGAGTGACCGTTGTCTGCACTACTCAAGGCGATTACGTCGGTGTTCTCGAGTTAAAGGGAGGACCCAGTGTGGCCGGTATGAAAACAAGCCAAAACTTCTCATTCGTCGGTAAAC